AATGGAAAGAGGGCAAGAGAGAAAAAAAAAAGAAAGGATTAAATTTACGAGGAGCGGGTGAATATAAAATTAAAAACGAACACGCTATCCTCTTAATTTTTGGGGCCAATTGGTGTGACGAGGGAAAAGACACGCGTATATATCTGTAAAATTGTTATTTATATTACTTTGGGTTTTTCACTCGAATCGCCGGATCGACAAGCGAAACTCTGTCAACAATTAATTTGTAAATACTTACGATTAAAATTGAATCATTAAGATGACGATCTTCTCTCCTAATAATTCGTTTAATAATTATAGAACTTATCATAGGAACTTTCTTCGTTTGTTTCTGCAAAAGGGGTGCCTCGCACTTTCCCGCATGTAAAATTGTAATTAAGGGAGAAAGAGTCAAGCTTCTTTTTCGCGCGAGAAGCGATCGAAGATCGAAGCACCGTGCCATATGTAACATACATCGAGATTATAAGAATTCTCTTATTGCGCGAGAGCGATGAGACGAGGGTGCGATCGAGAATACACAGATACACATACACACACACACACATACACATACGCGCATCAGATGACGAAACGAAATACACGCAACGCATCGTGTGATTGCAACAGTAGCCGAAGTATAAGAGTATAAGGATCTCGAGTGATATTATACGCTTCGTTTACGTAACGCAATGCGCGCGTCTCAACGATATCGAAAAATCTGATGCTGCGTTATCGGGGAGTTTTGCAGTACGCATTACCTCGAATACGGTAAACGCCGAAAAAAAAAAAAAAAAAAAAATGGTCGCAATGACTTTTATATTGCGTCTCGTTACACATTATCATTATTAATTATAAGCGTTATGATACAAAAATTATCATTGTAAATAACAATTATTGTCAATTATATATGCATTGATTATTGATCTTTATTCTTATTCTAATTATCACTCATTGAATCGTATCAATAAAAGTGGAGCGAATTATCTCGTCAAAAAAAAAAATAAAATAAAAAAAATAAAAGTAGAAAGATGAAAACAAAAATTCTTCAATTTTCGCTTAAAGTATATACAAAGCATTCGCTTTAATTAAAATACCTGTTTTTATGCTGAGAAGAATCATCGTGTTACGTGAATAAAGATACCAGCGTTTAGCGTATTCCAAATACGTTATTGCAAAAAGTCTTCATTATCGTTCAGCGTGATAATTAAATACTTCCACATGAAATCCGGCCCGGAGCGTCGTTCGACAAGTGTGCATTGCGGATACGCACGCACCCTTCCTAAATTTACTTCGCACAAATAACGACGACAACGTTAGTGTAACTTACGACGGACCATATCAATGAATCATATCAGCGAACGATAAAAAAAAAAATAGAAAGAAAGAAATGAAGGATATCCTCGATTGTGCGAGCCTGAGGCGAGAGAGGCGATGTGTGAGTTTTCGACATGTGCTTTTAAATAACAACGAGCTCTCCTGTACAAAAGTATCGCCGCGATTGCGAGCGATCGTTCCTCCTGCTAACTTACGTTACATTCGTCGAGGGAAATTCGTACTTATCAGTTTTATTTTATATAGAATTTTTTAAAATAATCATATACTTATTTGCAATGTATGTAAAAAAAAATTTGAATTAATGGATTTATATTTTTTTCACATTAAAATACTATCGTCTATAAAATTGCGAAATATCGACTCGCTTATAGAGAGAAGATAATATAAATTATAAATCATGCAGCAATTTAAAATGTAGAAATCGTAAGTACGAATTCGCCTTGGCGCACGTTTGCTTAGGCTTAAGCTTGCCATAAGTGATGATTTGTTAAAGCAACTTCCCTCCTAATCTCCGTTGAACGCGCCACGAAACGACATACAACGCTTTATTGCGAATTGCTTCCCGCGAGCCCGATGTGAAACCGAGATATGCGAATTAATAAGAGTAATAATAGACACGAGATATATGTATAAAGGAGACACGAATAGAGAGAAAAGTCGCGCGTGTGGAACGGATTTAAATGATTAAACGGGGATTACTCGACGAAGCCTTTCAAAAATGCCGAGCTGAATGAGAGGCAGACGAGAGATTGAAATATCATTAAAAAATATTTCATTATATATAATATAATTACGTCCTTATATTTCTACATAATTATGAAAGAGATCTGTTGCTCCTCTAATCTTTTTTTTTTTCCGAGAATAAAATGTCAGAGATTCGTATAATCCGGACACGGTTTTAATCAGGAGACACGAATAGAGAGAAAAGTCGCGCGTGTGGAACGGATTTAAATGATTAAACGGGGATTACTCGACGAAGCCTTTCAAAAATGCCGAGCTGAATGAGAGGCAGACGAGAGATTGAAATATCATTAAAAAATATTTCATTATATATAATATAATTACGTCCTTATATTTCTACATAATTATGAAAGAGATCTGTTGCTCCTCTAATCTTTTTTTTTTCCGAGAATAAAATGTCAGAGATTCGTATAATCCGGACACGGTTTTAATCAAAAATCGAAATGTTAGATTTATTCCAAGTTATTTCACTTTAGGACTGTCTCCGTAGCGGCTCTTAGTTTCATCGTATCGATTTTGCGACGTTATTGAGATCGGAATTTCAATGTTTGAAAGGTTTTTTTTAGCTACTGAGCTGGAAGAACAGCCGAGCGCCCAGCGACGTGAAAAATTCTCTCACGCGCATTAATTAAAGACACGCGAGGAGGACGAGGCGAAGCGAAAAATCGCGGCGCGCGCGTTGCCACTCTCTGTACATGTTAAATACACACAACGTTCCACACAATTGTTGCGAGAGTGCTGCACGTAGAGAATGGCGCAAAAGGAATGTCTAATTATCTATTTAAATAAGCGACCAATACACACACGCTGGAATAAATAGGCTTGTTATTGCGACGAATTTGCTCATTCATTATCAACCGACGAATCGTTTACCAGCTACGAACCTGTACTCGTGAGAATTAAACGATCTTGATTCTTGGCAAATGCGCTTGTTTCTGTCCGATTATCCTGCTCAGCATCCATTTTCGTCCTCGAGTCCACGTTGCTTGATTTTTATAAAAACATAGATGAGAGTTAGAATGTGCAATAAATTATGGAATAAAATTGCCATCATCTCTTCTTAAGAAATTTTTTATTCCGTATTTTAAAATTTAATTAAAGGAGCTTGATCTCTTTTTTGACGGAGGCTTTCTTGAGAACGAGAACAAATGTATGCTGAGAAATTTAAAATGAAATATATTATATGTTAAAGATCGACTAATATTTAACTCTTTCAAAATTGCATTTGTTCCATCTGCATTTACTTGATATTTTTTTTTCATACATTCCATTAATTCGCGCGTTCTCCATATCTTCGGCGAGATGTAACACTGAAAAATAAGATAAAGTCACACACATACGCACGTGCACACACCAGCGAGTGTATCCGCGATTACGATACCCTAGGATGCGAGATCTCTTGTCTCGCGGTAGGAGTGGCGACAAGGGTAAACACAACGGAACCAATCGCCGAGGAAGGGTGGTCCAGCCCGGTGTTTGTCTTCTCGATTCTCCTCCGCTCCTGGGGATGATACGGAATCGCGTGGAAGAGCCTAAGCGTTCCGTACATCCGCGGCCAATCGAACCGAATCGCCGCCAAGTCGGAAGAAACGTAAAATCCTGAAGTCGACTATTAGATCGCTCCGGTCTCTTTTCGCACAGTTCCGAATTAACAATCGTCAAGAACTCGCGCGCGAAACCGCCATGGTACCATAGACCTGACTTCCGTAATGTTCGTTTAAATCATTTTCAAGCTAGAGAGTTGAATATTCAACTATAATCGTAAGAATTATTTTATTTTAAAACTATCAAGTATTGACAGTTCATTGCGTAGGGATTTTATATAATTAATCATTTGCATATAATTGCAACTGTTAAAAGTTTTATTATATATTCATATATGGTCAGTGTGTAAATATTTATCTGTCAATTTTTAATTACCAATTCATAAAGGGAAACCTTCTACATGCATATCAATAATTTTGATTAAAGTCACGACACGCGGATATTATTCGTTGCTCGGGTATTTTCCGAATATTAATAAAAACAGGCGCGAATATAGGTAAATGAAATAAAATCGCCGATTATACTCTATTTATTCGATTCTACGATATTCGTATGTGTGGTAAAAGGGGTGCGTATATATGAACGATCGCAAATAAGTAGAAAAAAAAACCAATCGAGATTCGATTCGCGTGGGATACCACCATGCTTCGCGGCAGGAGCAAGAACAGGCCGGAGAACAACGAGAACAACGAGGGAACGGACGGTAAACAGAGGAGACCGAAATGCGCCCGTTGCAGAAATCACGGTCTCATCTCGTGGCTGCGGGGCCACAAGCGGGAATGTCGTTACCGGGAGTGCCTGTGCCCCAAATGTTCACTGATCGCCGAACGGCAGCGAGTGATGGCCGCCCAGGTAAGCCGAGGATCTCCAAATCGTTTAATTTAAATTAAACGATCGAACAATCCTTCCTCTACCCCTGTATTAATTTAAAAATAATTTTCTATAATTTTTTCACATTTTAATTTTTTTTTTTTAATATATTAGAAAATTACGAACGATGTCAAATCCGAGACGGATATCATTCGCGAGTGCGTAACAATGTCTCTCGTATATCCCGCGCTTCATTCTCTCGTAGTCGCTAATTTAGTACGCGCGAGAATTATCTTTGCGCTTTGAGCGTAAGGAAAATGTGAAAGAAAAATGTCAATTCGCTGCACGCGCAATTGAGCGTAATTAACGCGCCTCCGATATTTTATTTCGCACGATTCACCCTCGATATTTAAAGAGACATCACATCGAAGCTCGTTATTGTCGAGCCAATGTTGGAAAGAGAATCTCGCGCATAGTTCCTTTTTTGCAAAAAAAAAAAAAAAA